TCTTCTGGTTCACTCTTCTTCTTTGAGCCTGTTGGCCTACCAGGGCCCTTCTTTCCTGCTTCACTTTTGCCCTTGGCACAGTATGCAGCAATATCCTTTTCGTATTTTTCCTTTAGCTTAGCCGCTTTTTGTTCATATGGTTGTTTATCTTTGGCTGACTGCTCAGACCACATTTCACCCAATTTTTTTGCAGTATCTCCAATGGACAGGCCTGGGTGTTCACTTTTGATCTTTGGGCGATGTTCAGAGAAAAACAGGAAAAAGGCAGATGGTGGTCTTTTAGGTACATTTGGATCTTTCTTCTTTCCCCTCTTAGCGCCAGCTTTGGGAGGAACGTAATTTTTCATCTCCCTGTCGTAGCGAGCTTTATCACTCTTCGCCATATCTTCAAACTTCGACTTTTTCTTGGCAGACATGGTCTTCCATCTCTCCGAGCACTTCTTGGAGAACTCGGCAAAGTTGACCGAGGAGTTGGGGTGCTTCTTCTTGTGCTCTTCGCGGCAGGTCTGCACGAAGAAGGCGTACGAGGACATCTTGCCCCGCGGCTTGTTGGGGTCTCCCTTGCCCATGGCGGCGGGGCCTGGTGTAGCTTTTCCTCAGGGTCCCGCACAGCGGCCGAGAGCAACAGAGACACTTCCTTCCTAGAGCTCCGGCGAGAACTGGTTTACCGCTAACGCAATCCTCAGCCTCTTGTTTTGTAGAGTTCACTGATTGCTTGATGATAGCCATTCTTTCTTGGGTGAGATGGAATCTCAGTGTTGTTTTAATTTGTACTTCTTGAATGATCAGTGGTGTTGAACATTTTTTCATATATTTATTGCCATATTTATTTTTTCATCTGAGAGGTGTGTATTCATTTCAGATGTACATTTTTTTTTTCATATGCCCATTTTTTGATTGGGTCTTTGAATTTTGAGGGCCTGATTTTTTAAATTTTCTATATGTTCTAGATAGAAGTCCTTTGTCTGAGGGACAGTTGGCTAATTTTTTTTTTTTCCCAGTTCCTGGGTTTTCTTTGTACTCTGTTGGTGATTTCTTTTGATGTGCAAAAACCTTTTCAATAGGATGAGTTCCCAATTGTTGATTCTTTGAAGTATTTCCTTTACAGTTTGGTTCTTTGTTCATGAACTTTCTGCCGCCTACCCCTGTGTCTTCAAGATTTCTGCCTATTTTCTCTTCCTATAGATTTAGTATTTCTATTTTAAAATTTATTTATTGAGTCACAATAAATTTATTCCCTTTGGGGGGTAGCCAAGTTGCATTAGAACTTCTGGAGTTGCTTCTTGGTGCTGGCAGCCTTGATGACTTTAAGCACATTGAAGTATACTGTCTTGCTCAAGGACCTGCACTTGTCCACCATGAGAATGTCACCGATCTGGACATTTCTGAAACAGGTGGACAGGTGCACCAACATGTTCTTGTGGTACTTCTCAAAGTGATTGTATTTAGGGGCTGGGGAAATGGCTCAGTGGAATAAGTGCTTCCCTGGTAAGCGCAAGGGCCTGAGTTCAATACCTGGTTCTGAAAAAAAAAAAAAAAAAAAGTGATTGTATTTGTGGATGTTGAGGAGATAGTCTCAGCAGATGACAGTGGTCCTCTGCATCTTCATATTGGTCACCACTCCTGGGGGTGGGGCAATAAGACCATGGCTCATTCAGGCTTTTTGGAAAGGGGTCACAGATACCCCAGGGCATGCTGGGAATCATGGTTCTCCAAACCCTGTTTTTAGCATCAGTGTTGCCAGCTGGCTTTCTCAGCAGTGCTGAGAAGTGGCTGGCTTCTGAAGACCATCATAGAACATCTGTTTTAATATTTAGATGTTTGTTCCATTTTAACTTTAGTGCATGGTGTTGCTGTGAGACATGGGTCTAGTTTTTGTCTTTGGCATGTGGAAAGCTAGTTTTTTCCAGAGCTGTTTATTAAAGAGGCTGTCTTTCTTTTTCTTTTATTTTTTTTATTTTTTAAGAGGTTATCTTTCTTCCAGTGAGCATATTTAGCTCATTTGTCAAAGGTAAGGTGGATGTAAATGTATTTGTAGTTGTGTCTGCACCTTCTAATCTGTTCCATTGATCCTCAAGTCTGTTTTTTGTTTTTGTTTTTTTGCCAATACCATGCTGATTTTATCACAGTATCTTTGTAGTACAATTTCAAGTTAGGGATTGTGATGCCTCCTCCCTTTTCTTTCTTGCCCAGAATTGCTTTAGTTATTCTAGCTCTTTTCTGGGAGTGCTTAGAATAGACATCAACATTTTCACATCAGCTCTTTACTTGCTTACAAAACCTAAGCGATATCATCAGAAAAACTTGTGTGAACTAAAATGAAGATATCAGTAGCACTCTGAACCTCTTGCTTCAGTTGTCACACCCTAGGCAGCTTCACATATGAAAATCACACGTTCCATAAACACATATCACTTACACTAGATAGCGTGTATGTTTTCTTTTCCTTTCTTGTAGGGCACAATTAATATCTTTTTGGTTTTACTCTAAGAAAATTTCTCAGTGGTATTTGGTACCTGTTATTTTCTTTGCAAACTATAAAACTGTTTATGCCATACATGTTTAGGACTGAGTAAAACACAACCATTGACCAATGCTTTGTTTTTTGAGTGACATCATAGTTCCTGTATAACTTATAAACACCTATTCCACCTTTGATTTTTTTTTTTTTTTCTGTATTTAGGACAGGACCTACAGGGTCTACAGGGTCTCACTATGTAGATCGGAATCATAGTGCTTCTCCTTTTTTCAGCTTCCCAAGTGCTGGGATTACAGGTGTGTGCCACCACACCTAGTCTCAGTTGCCATCTCAGTGTACCTCGTGGGCAAGGCTGACATGGCAGGCCGGGGATCAAATCTTGGCTGCTGCACTCTGCCTAAGCAGGTGCTTTAGTCTGCTGAGTTATCAGGCTGGCCCTGATTTTGTTGTAGAAAGTTTCCATCCCAAGTTTGCATTTTGTTGAGGTTTTCCTATCAGGATCTCTATCATGGTACAATGTTGCCATGGCAGTACCAGTTTGTTTTTCTTGCTATATATGAGGCCAATGTAAATCTTTCTAAACTCCAAACATTATACTATACAGTCCCTATTTTGAAATTCCAACATTTCATTTGGCATTGCTGCTTTGTTTCTGCATACAGTTCCTGCACTGGTCAACTTGTGCTCTGTTAGCAAATGTAACATCAACTGGAAACTGGTAAGTTAACTGTCAAGTGCCACATTCCAATTAGATAGAGAGATGGGAGCAGTGTGTCTGTTCACAGCATCATTTGGTTTATTACTGTATGAATAAGGTCTGATGGCTGAGTTCCCAGATGAATGTCTAAATTGAAAGCATACTAAGTTTTCTCACCTATAAGGGCATACATTTTTATGCCATATTTTGACCCATTACTTTTCTATAAGTCTTTTATATTCCTGTGATCACCATGAGAAATCCATGTTAAGTACAGTAGACCTATGAATGCCGTCAGTTCAGCTAGTGAGGTTTCATATAAAAATATGGCTACAGATGCATATGGAACATTTTCCTTGCATCTCAGCCCTTGTGTATTTCACAGTCATCTTGTAACAGTTCATCTGTTGCAATTTCCAATAATGAATGGTAGTGCTGGCGTTCTATCCAATACCTTTCATCTCTGCCAAGACTCTCACTATATTTTCAGACCTAGTTCTAACATTGTCCCATTCCATTTGGTTGTGTAGTCATTTAGCAACATTTCATCTAGTCACATAAGTACTTATGTTGCTGTTTTCTTCATCATCTGAAGCAAGGAGATCTGCATTCCGTGTGTCTGTTGATTCTTGCTCCATTTCAGTGTCATAAGAACTTTGGCTCCCATGGGCATCATCACAGTCATCATCATCCACACACAGCACTTTCTGGGTTTTTTTGTTTGTTTTGTTGGTTTTTTTAGGACAGGTTCTACAGGGTCTCACTACATAGATTGGACTTGTTGTGATCCTCCTGTTTTGAGCCTACCAAGCCCTGGGATTACAGGCACGCACCACCACACCCAGTCTCAATCGCTGTCTCAGTGTGCCCTGGCATACCACTTTCTGTTATGAAAGCATATATTTTACTATAGTGGGTCATCTTTATCACCCATGCATGAATAATCTGATGATTCACTTTTGACCTCTTCCAAAACTTGCAAATCTAGTTTTTCATCTACCATTGTACTGAATTAGGCTACTTATACCAGAAAAATAAAAAGAAAATTTAAAAAAAAAAAAAAACAAAAAAAACAAATCCTACAGTGGTGTGGGTCTACTGGACTGTCTGTGATGCTCAGGTAGACATACACAAAGCATGGATATGGGTGTAAATCTATTTGACACTTTTGCATATAACTTGATTGTTATCATAGCAAGTAGGTAACAAAGATTACATTCTGTATCTCCCAGGGAAAAGTACTGAGATGCACAGCCAGCTACTATTGTGCTGAAGTGAAAGTTTACAGTAGAAAAGTAAGGGATATGTATGTGGCACACTCTATTACACTTATATTTTATTTATTTATTTTTTGTTTTTCTTTTTGTTTGTTTTTTTTTTTAAGGGAAGGGTGTACAGGGTGTTCAGGGTCTCACTACTAGATCAGACTTGTAGTGATCCACCTGTTTACAGCCTCCCAAGAGCTGGGATTGCAGGCATGTGCCACCATGCCCAATCTCAATTGCCATCTCAACATGCCCTGGGGGCGGGGCCAGCACAGCAGGCCTGGGGATTGAACCCCTGGCCTCTGTGCCTGCTTGCAAGCACTTTAATCCACTGAGCTATTTGGCCGGCCCCTCTGTTATGCTTTTAATCTTTTAAGTCTCAGACAAAATCTCTGGACATGAGCAAAATGCCAGCAAACTTTCTGCTAAGCCATGACACCATTTGGAGTCCAACAGCCAATACATTTCTGCTCAGCAGAAATCTCCTAAGCCTGGTCTTCCTATTAGCCTTCTGGTCTTCTCAGCTCTGACCAGAATCTCCTATAACACAGTACAGCCTAAGAAATTTCAGCACTGCTTTTTTAGCCCACATCTGAACTTTTCCAAACTTTTCCCACAAGCCTGGTAAGCCAAGGTCCTGAGTTTAATTCCTGGGACTCCTGAACCACATAGTCAGATATAATCACAGCAGCGATCCCACTCCTGGTACCAAATTCTTAGTTATTTTTCTCATTGCTGAGACAAAATACCAAACACATAAAAGAGGAAAGCACACGCACGCACGCACACACACACACACACGTATGTATGTATGTATGTATGTTCATCCCTTTACATATTCTAAGTTGTGAGCTCCAAGAATCCCCTGTGCCTGGCTTTACCCTCAGCATCTATGCTGTAGTACAGGATGCATGCTAGGCAGCATTTGGGTAAGTGTGAATTATCTTGCTATAAAATCATCAGGTTTGGGCTGGGGTTGCAGCTCAGTATGGAGCATCTCCTTAGCATGAGTGAAGCCTGAGATTCCCGAGTTCCATCCTCAGTACCCCCACACACACATTAAGTTATTTAGCATCTCCTTCTGGAAATTTACATTTTTCTAGGCTGTAGTCTATGCAGATTTATAATTAAGAGGACACATTATAAAACTTCTAAGTCTACTTTCATTCTAAAATTCTGGTTTTTCTTTCTTTCTCCATCCCACCTTTTCCTTTTACAACCAAGACAGAGTCAATCTATTTGTGAGCAGTACTCAGAGATGAATGCAGAGATGTTGTGTTAAGGTTGTTGTGCTGTTAACTCAGGTAGTACAAAGCATCAGAAAACATCCACAGTGAACAAACTTGCTTGTGTTAAAAGTCCTAAGTGATTAATGAATCAGTGGTAGGTGATAAATATGTCTATAAAAATGATCAAAACAAGTTAACAGAGAGATGACTAGCTCTTTAACGCAACATTTCCCTCTTACTATTGTTAATAGAGTATTTTGTGTGTTTTTTTTTCCTTTCTGGAATTACTAATATATTCATAAGCATAATTACTGTCAGTGAAACAAATATTACTCAGCTATGTCAGCAAGCCTTTTTAAAAATTACAAAAGCAAAACTAAAAAAAGTAAAAATAAAAATATAAGAGCAATATCACATTAACATTTTCCTGCCAGCTTGAACCACTGGCCACCCGTGCATTACTGTCTTGCTGTGGCTTGTACTGCCCAACAGGGCTGTGCTGTACCACTTACTGTAAACTCCATGCCTTTACCACTGGTGGTTGAGAGCCATCTTGCCAGATGACAGGATATGAGGTACTCAAACGATGGCCCCATCATGAATGTATTAAGGAAAGTTTATTTAAGTGGGTATGATGGCACACACCTGTAAGCCTCGCACTCTGGGAAGCTGAGGCAGAATGATTAAAAGTTTGGGTCCAGTCTGGAAAATATAGAAACTTAGTGAGATTTTGTCTCAAAAAATTAAAAAAAGGGTTTATGATCTAGCTCAGAGCAAAGGCCTTAGGTTCAAGGTCCAGACTAGGTGGAAGGGAGTTGATTTATAAACTGGGTGTGGTGGCACAGGTCCATAATTGCAGCATGTGAGAGGCTGGGGCAGGCGGATTATGAATTTGAGGCAAGCCTGGGCTACACAGAGAGACCGAATCTAAAAAAAAAACCATAAAACATTTTTTTAAAGTTTATAAAGAAAGAAAAAGGGCTGGGAGATGGCTCAGTAGAATACGCGCTTTCCTGGCAAGTGCAAGGGCCTCAGTTCAATCCCCAGTTCCGCCAAAAAAAAAAAAAAAAAAAAAAAAAAGGAAGAAAAAGCTGGTGTTTCCTTCATTCACATTTCATATATAAGTATTTGTTCAT